CACTATATTTACGTTTCTTCAGTTTGCAGTGTCTTCATATGGCAATTTTAAAAGACAAGGAATGTAGTCCCCATTTACAGTAAAGCTAAATAGGAAAATAAAATATCTAAACAAGGCTGGCATAGATGGAATAAATAAATCTTTACATGGTTTGGGAGAAAATATATTATCAAATGACCATTACTTCTCAGATATACGTATTTATTACAAACATTACCCATAGCTCTTCCAAGCCAATTCACCTCCTTTGCGGAGGTGTTATTTTTGCGGTTTATGCGGGCTGTAGTTAAGGCCAGATCGTTCATTGTGATCGTTATTTTTGCGGTTTATGTGGGCTGGAGTTAAGGCCAGAATTAACCACTTGAAGTCTGCGGTGTTAAACCCCCTTCCGGTCCTGGCCATTTTTCAGTATTCAGCGCTGCGGTACTTTGACATTTAGGGAAGTAAAAAGGGCATTTTATTTTAATCTAGCGATCAGTTAGGTCCCAAAGATGGGCTTTAAAAACAAAAAGCAACAGGAGGTGTAATATTATTTAGTTTCTTCTTCTGTAGCTCAGTGTCTGGCAATGTCCTCTAGTTTATATAAGCTGAGATCGGGGCTTTTTAAAAAAATGGTCAGACAAATGTTAGGTTGATGTATCGATTTCTATTTGCACACAATTTAGCAATGTGCTGAGATCAGTGGTGCTGGAATAGTTTTCTGGGATTATAACTTGTGTGATTTACTGGGCATTTTTCCTTTGGTCTTTAATTACTGACATCCTCCTGGGTACATCGGTCAACGGTACTCAGTGGTGCTAAGGAACCATGTGGCCAGTTGCTGTAGCAACCTGGCTTGTTTGCGGTGTGATAAGAGCTGTATAGAGCTGTACATTTAAGCCCAGCTGTTACTGAACTTGGCAAATATAATAATAAAAATTGAATTGCCTTTTTATTTACCAGACCTTGTCATTATTATGGCTCGCAGCAATCTAATTGTACAAAAACATATTATTATTTTTTCCTTAGCATTAACACGTTTTCTCCTGAGAAACTGGCTGCAGTCATGATCTGTGACAGACGCTGGGCTTATAAACCTTTCACTATACTGACATAATCTTCTGATAATATTCTAGCACTCAGATTATAAACATAAACACTTGTATTATAATGATATATTAAATCAGCTTATCATAATTTTGTTAAAGAAAAAATATAATTGCTGTTCTCTTATAAATTGTGAAAAATATGAGGTGTGAAGAAGACATATTCTATTAAGTTGTTACTATGGCCAGGGGCGTATTTACCGCAAGGCAAACAAGGCGTTTGCCTGACGCGGCACTTTGCAGGGGAGCGGCATGTTTCGCCCCCCTGCAAAGAGGAAAGCTGGGGACGAACAAGGCGCCGGGCGCACAAGATCAAGCAGCGTCGGCTGCCTTAAAAGGTGGCTGCTAACGGGGCCTGGCAGTGAGCTGGCGGGTGTATGAGGAGGCGTGGCCGGGGCTGAGGGAGAAGCGGCCCGGCCTTCGGAGGCTGCGGTGCCGCTCCAAGAAGATTCGGCGGCTGCAGAAAGACGCGGACCTGGGCCGGTGGAGGCTGCAGATGGGATGGCGGCTCCAAGAAGCATCGAGGCTGCAGATCTGATGGGACCAAGATAGACATGGCCCTGGTCGGCGGAGGCTGCGGGCAGCTCAAGTAAGATGCAGGCTGGAAGCAAGATGCAGAATGAAAGCAGGCTGGGGAGCTGCAGGTAAGAAGAGCAGCATGTGTGCAGGGAAAGGGACCCTCCACAGTCCATAATAGATCATGCACAGTCCACCTTAAAGTCTCTGTGCAAGGTCTATGGTGGGCTCTGGGGGGTCTCTGGTGGGGTTTGCAGGAACTCAGATGGGCACTGCAAGGTCTATGGTGGTCTCAGCCTGACATCCTGCAGTGTCCACCAGAGATCCTTTACAGCCACTTGAGACCCTGGCTTCCCTGCAACACTAAGGCCTCATTCACACTGCTTAAGGCTGTGACACACTGCACGCGAAGCAGCGTGGAGCGGTGACGCGCTGCCTTCGCGAGCAGTGTCATGTAATTTTCTCCTCAGCACCTCAGCTTGCGAGAGCTCGTGTAGCTGAGCGTGCCGAGAGGAAATATTTCATCTTCAGCCAATCGGCTCGCGCGTATAAACCGGCGCGTTGCGATGCGACGTCTGGCTGGTTGTTATGCAGGAGCCGATTGGCTGAAGGTGCAGTCAATCATGTGCCTGCACTCAGCTCACACACAGCACGCAAAGCTCCGTGCCGGACAGCTTTGCTTCGCTCTGCACGGCTTTGCGTGCAGTGTGTCACAGCCTTCAGAGTTGGCCCATAAACATCCGTGCTGGTGCGGGTGTCCATGCTCGGACGCAGATAGGATCCATCCTGTCTGTGTACGAGTACGGACATCCACACGGACGTGCAGTTCAGGTGAGCGTACAGCTGCGTCCTCCCATAGAGAAGAACAGGCTGCTGCGTACAAATCACACGCAGCACCTGTCCTTCCCGGGAACGGCCCGATACGGCCGTGCACGTCCCACGGATCTGTACGGGCCGACTCTTAGCAGTGTGAATGAGGCCTAATAGCGCAATCTGTCAGACGCTGTATCCAGCGGCTTGAAAGAATACGCAAAATGTCTTGTTAGATGGGGGGGTGCCGAGTTTCGTTTTGCATAGGGCAGCACGAAACCTAAATACACCACTGACTATGGCTTCTTGGCCCAGAGGATTTCCAGAGAAATGGAAAATATATGTGGGACTTCTCTATAAATGAATACAGAGGATGACCTTCTAACCCTCCCAGAAACCCTAAGACTTAACCACACACTAAACTTGCCTGTAACCCTTAAACTATACTGCCTGGTAACCTTCACACTTATACTCCCTGTAACCCTCACAATAAATTTCCCATTAACCCCAAGACAAACCTTACACTAAACCTCCGTGTAACCATAAAACTGTACCTCCCCGTAACCCTCGTAGTAATCCTCCCATTAGCCTCAAGATTAACCTTACACTAAACCTCCCTGTAAACCTTATACTAACCCTCTCATTAACCACTGGACTAATCTAACACTAAACCTCCCTGTAGTCCTTATACTAACCCCCCCATTAACCTCAAGACTAACTTTACACTAAATCTCCCAGTAACACTTACACTAAACCTTCATGCAACCCTCAAACTGTACCTCCCTGTAATCCTCATAATAACCTCCAGACTAACCTTACATTAAACCCCCCTGTAACCTCTATGTTGGCCCTTCCATTAACCATGGGACTAACCTAACACTAAACCTCCCTGTAACCTCTATACTAACCCTGCCATTAACTTACAAGACTAACTTAACTCCTAATCTCACTGTAACCATTACACTAAAGTTCCCTGTAACTCTCAAAATATACTTCTCTGCAACCCTCATACTAACCCTACCACAAACCCCAAAGTTACCCTTAACATTAATCCTTCTTGTAACTCTCAGCTCTTCTGCACTGGGATCCTCTGTGCCAAGGACTGACCATCCCTGGATGAAATATTACAATGCCAATGTTCTGGCACTGGAATCCTTTATTCACTTCTGGCAATGTGTGTATAAAAATTATGAGTTGTCAGATTTTTTGGAGGCCATTCTTCATTAAAAAAAAATGGTCCTAATCCTAATAAAATAGCAAGAGCAGTAATTTTTTTAGCACTTCTGTAGTAAGAAAACATTTTTAAAAAGAAAGATTGTACCATTGCGGACCCTTTGTTCTTCTGGTTTATTGGATGTCAAGTTGTTTGCATTGCCTACCTGGTAGAAATATGCAGATCAAGAGTTTTGACTTTACATTAATTTTTCTGTAAATTTGTTGTTTACTCCAACCTTTTCATTTGCATCCTTGTTCTACGTCATTGCCCCAGGCAACTACCAGTTTCAGAAAGTGGTCAGCAATAACAACCTCTACATTTCTTATGGTGCGTGTGTAATGAGGCAGAAAACACTGCATACAAGAGAATAATCCAGACAAACCCTTCCCCAATTGAATTTCATTGCTCTGGCAGTTCTAAAGATGATAGTACTGTGGACTAGTGGGCTATGTGCATCATCTTTGTACTTTTCAGGCATGTGCTAACCTACTGTATGCAGGGCGTAAAAGAAATTCTGTTTATCACAAACTCAGATATGACTTACCTTTTTATCTTGTATGCCTAGAAAGAGAGCTTGTTTCATTGTTCTTCAGTTTAAAAGCATTTTCCTATCTATTATTTTCTATGGCTTTATCTTCACTTTACTGTACTGATTTTTGATTGCACAAGGACACAACAGAATATCCAGTTTTATACTCTTTGTGTTTAGTTGGTCTTCTGCTTCTATCACTTCATATGCACTCTGTGTAATCATTCATTCTACAAAGAGGAAAGCCAGAGACACACAGAGTATGCTCTATAAGAGGCTATTGCCAGATGGGAGAACGGAGGCAGGAGGGGCAAGGGAAATTTGGCGTAATGAGGTTGTCATGACAACACAAATCTATCCGTGAGTTCCCGGGTGTTAAGCACCTGAAATTAATTTTACCTGAATCACCTTCAGTGAGGGAAACGGCTGGGTATATCTACTGGGCTATAGGACGCAGACTTTACAAAGTCGCAATGAAGTCGTGGTAAGAAAATACATTTTGTTTTACATTTAATCAATTCAGTTAGGTGATGCAAAGAGTAGTAGTAATAGAAAAAAACACATGATACCATAGCAGCCAATCACTTCAATATACAGTAGTGAAATATATATTCTGATTGCCAAACGGTTAGGAATATTTGCACACTGTTCCTTGATTTGGTTTTAGGCAGCTAAGCAGCTCTTTATTTGAACAGTTAGCAAAGTCTAATATTTTATAAACAGTATACTGAAATGTAGAGGTAGTGATGGGGGATTCTCTGTGTTTTATGTGAATACATGTGTAGATGGACATATGTAGAAATATTAAACCACGTGGTAACAAGTGTCACTTTTATATCAGCAGAAAACAAGAGCTGGCAAACTCTTCTGAAGTCACAGTGCCGGACCGTCCCTTGTCACCACCAGCCACAGCACCTCCAAACATGAAGGTAAATGCGTATTCTACATTGTATTATAAAGTATGACTTCACAGAGCTTTACCATGTGTGTTTGGTGCTTTTTTCTGTGTTATTTTTCTCATCTGTGCAGAAATATGTCTTTGTCTACTTCCTTTGATCAATGCAAATGGCCACACAGGCTATTTCTTGCAGTATTTTACCAAATTTTATTGTGTTTTATCAATTCTGGAAAATCATTATCATACAGGTTATTACACCTTAAACTATAACTGGCTTCTGCTTGGCAGCAATTAAGAGATTCTGAGAGCAAAAAAGGAGGCTGTAAGGTTTGGGATATAATATTGATTCATGAGATCAATATCTGTGAATAAATGAAGCCTTTAAATACTTAAAACTTACCTAAATTGTTAAAACCCCTTTCAGGTATTTTCACGTCATTGGGGAGATTTCCCGTCCAGTCCAGTAGACACTACTGAGAGAAAATCTCTCCAAGGTGAGAATT